TCGGTATAAATTATTCAACATAACAAGAATTGTGTTGAAAAGTTAGGTGATTGAAGACAGTCGACAGAAAACACTGAATCTAGGTTGGCACTCATCGACAAGCTTTATCTGTAATCCTGAGAGAACCAATCCCTTGTGTGGGATTTGAATCTACGCCTAAAAGACTGTAATGTTTCAAACTGTGAAGCTGGGTGACGCAGATATTTATCTCATAGGGTGAATCAGTTCTCTCAAAATTACAGATAAACTTTGCTATCGATTATTAATTGGCATAAAACCTAAAGTTACCAAACAGTGTTCGATTTACGCTAAGCAGAATCTAGATAGATGACCAGTTATATGATATTGTTACTAAATCTGAAGGCTCTGGTTTCTGACTGGTGATACTGTGGGTGTGCACTATTAAAGTCACATACTAGAAAGAAACCGCTGTAGAGTGTTTCCTAGTCAAAAATGATATCCTCGACCTAGACCATTCTAGGATGAATTAATGTTTACAAATTTAATACACCTTCAAAAAATATGGTCAATGTATCCATTATTTTTCAGCAAATCTTGAAATGTCTACATATGTATTTTTTGAGCCAGTACCACGTTGCCATGTGAGTGAATAAAGCAATAACCACTAATAGTTGTTTTTCTGTGCTTAGTGAATTGATTGAATTAAGATGTGAATAACTGAATTTCAGCAACAAGTACAATGGTAAAACGTTTGCAACGAAACCTGGGTTCGATCACTATGGGGAATCATGGATGACCATTAACTACTACATTCAAATACTGATCTCTGGTTTAGGAATCTGGTACTTTTATAACTGAGAACTGGTAGTATACTAACCACATCAATTACATTCGTCTCAATGAAATGTATTTGTAAATATTTTTCGTAAGCTATTCTTCAACAAAAGTTTGTTTCAGTTAAATGGAACGCACTTCTTAAATACAAACACAGACAAACTGTGTAATACACCTGTCTACCATCAAGCGCATCCGTTAGAAGAAGACCAATTTAGATAATTGTGTATATTCATCTCAAATAACATTGAAAGTAGTAAAAAATAAGTCACAAATTCATAGTTTTTTTTGACACCATTATATATCGTAGAATAAAATTAGGGCCTGGTGTTTCAATTAATGATAGCAGTTATCTTCTTCAATAGCAAATGTGTCATATTCGTGCTAATAATGATGGGAACAATGATAATGACGGTAAAAATTACAAGAATATCAATAAACACATACAAACGCACACGCACGCACACACACGCACACACACCAGAGAATGCTTATGAAAAGACAGGAAAACAAGTTGAAAAAATCAAAATAAAATAAATATTTAAAATCACGATTGTGTATGTGTTGTCAAAAAGAGAAAAAAAAGCACAGAAATACAAAGAGAAAAGGGACTGTAAACAATCTTCTTCTTCTTCACGGTAAACATATACGATGGTGGAGTTTGATCAAAACACAAGAAATATAACTGTCCGAACTCCTCTCTTTTATTTGGTTACCTTTAAAATTAGAAAGACTAGGTCTAGTCAATCAGGAAAAAAAAGCAAAATAATATACAATCACAAATTCAAGAAATGATATTAACGAACCAAATGATGAGACATTGTCACCAACACCATATTATATAATCTATATATAGTAAATTAGGAAGTCAATACACATCATGCACATGTGTGTGCAGACGACAAAAAAAATTACATAAGCGAAAAATGGGGGAGGGAAGAGAGAAAAAAACAAATGAAACAAGGAATTCGCATTGTTGTAGCACAAAAAGGCCACTTGGATAAAGAAGTATCATCATGTTGAAATTCATTTTCAGCTGTTCACTGTTTTGATCATGGTATTTATTATATAAAAAACGAATCAGATGACAGGAAAAACAAGCATAAAAACAAACACTCTGTTGGTAATAATACTCGTTCTTTCTGTGTTTCTCTGTTTGACCATCCATCCATTAACAAACATCGTATTTTCTTCAAACGAACATACACTGACTTATCATTTCACAACATCCATACATACATCAATTAATAAAACGAGGTGTGATACAAAAGGAATAATGCGTACAGAATGAGGAAGAGGGCATAATCATAACACGCGTAACATTATTCAAACAATTGGAATAAAAACCAGAAAGAAAAAAAATCAAATCAAGTATTCAACATTATGATCTATGAGAATAATAAATAGATTAAGGAATAGACACTCAGCATAAACTAATACAATAAGCGATTAGGTTGACACTGTTTGCAAATATCAACGACCATTGATGAATATGGAAAGTTTGTTTGTTTTTTTCATGTTTACATGCTCTTTTTTCTCTATTCATTGTTTCCAGTTATCTGTATGAAAACACTACACTGAATAAAAGAAAATGATTACTTGTTTCATAAAATTTCAAACAATACACTGTAGTAGAAAGGAAAAAAAAGAAGTAGGTAAAAATAGAGAAAATGATAAAAAAAAAAAGAAATTGTTATCATGAGATGCTGAACACAACATGGAGGAAAAATCACGGTGTTTCCGCCGTCAAGCATACACAATGCAACTTAGTCAATAATACTCTTAAGAAATGTGGTATTCGTTAAAAAAAAAACACGGATAGACAGATGATGATGATGATGCTGAATAAAAAAACTATCGCGTTCGAATTAAGTAGTAGGAGGAATTCAATTAAAATAGTAAACTATGAATTTGAGAGAAAAAAAATGTGCAGATAAAAATGTAATCGACACTGTAGACAAAGGAAGATGTTATTCTATGATGCTCTGTCCAGCATGTAATTAATATGGTCCGTTTATAGCGGCTGGATATGATTGATTGTGCGGGGAAAAATAAAGAAGGAGAATTCGCCCACACACAAGGAATTGTACAAAAAAAATAAGGAAAAGCAAACAAACATCTTGACGCTGTTGTAACTCTTAACTGGTGTTTTCTAGTTTTTCTTTCCAAAAAGAAAAAAACGCGAAGTAAGAACTGTAAAATAAAATCTGTTTTATTGCTAATATGAATTGCTTTAATCAATCGAACTTAGTGAATGAATTGTCTGTCTTCTTAGAAAGCAGAAAACTAAGGTAAACAAATATTAGTAGGAATAATAATAACCACAGCAGTTAAAACAACATAAAAAAAGAACACAATAAAATAAGGATATCATCATATACATCATACTCGGAAAAAAAACAGCACAGCACATGAAGTACGATGCCAATAGAACCCAGTGTTTGAGTTCAACTCTTGGCATCATCATGCGAATAGGACCTGTTGCTTATTGACTGTATTGATAATATTCCATAGGAAGTTTTAAACTGAATATCAATTGTATGGAAAAGGAAAATACAAGCACAATCTATGAGTTCGCATTTAAATTAAAATCAACGGCAACGCAAAACCTATAAAAGTAATAACAATCAAGAATTAAAACCAAATCAAAAAAGAAGGGAAAAAGAAGGGAGGAAAATCAACTGCAAAGATACACGACAAGATATCATCTCATCCATAACCACAGTGAAAGAGACAGATCATTCTAGCCGAAAAACACACACATACACACACGCACAAAAAAAAATAGTACAGTCTAAAACAACCGGGTTACAGAGGCTTCATAATATCGACAATGTGAACAGGAAAAGGAGTGAAAATGGAAAAATTGATGAAGAGGAAAAGTGACATAATTAAAGATCTAATCAAAATACAAACAGAAAGTTACTGCCAGTACGCTGGACTTAATTATAATGATAATAATATAATTTATTAACTGTTTAAGCAAGATTAGGACCACAAAATAAATATGTAGGAAGAAAAACTTCATTTACATTTGTATAACTAGTTAAACCAATCGATACACACACATGAGGAACAACTCTTCACTTCCCAATGTTATAGACATCAAAAAAATAGAGTAAAACTTTTTAGTTTACAAAGCACACAAAAAAAACAGACAGACAGACAAACAAACAAACAAACAAAAAGCAGCAGCTATTTATTGGAAAATAAAAAATAATCAAACTAACTGTAATTACACACATAGATACACAAATGTACTTAAAGAGATTGATAGATTGGAAAAGTGTCAAGCTGTATTGTATGTACACTTATTTCCACTATCGTTTGAAAAAAAACTGGTTTCGGCTATTCCAAAAGAAAAAAAACAACACCATTTCGAGCATCAACAAAATAACGTGTACACATCATAATTGAATGTATAAAGATTAAACTGAAAGTGAAACAGAACTGGAAAAACAGTGAAGAAGTAATGAGTTATACATGAAAGTAATAGAGTGTACTGTCACATTCATCGTTATACATACATACATATATATATACAATTGTAAACAGTACAATATAGTAAATCTTTCATCTCGAACGGTATGTGCATGTGTGAGCAAACTAAGTAGTGACATGTTATACTCGATAATTGTTCGTCTCAAATTTTACACAATTCCGATGAAAATACAGAGGCAAAATAGATAAGCTGAATATTATTACAAGAAATAAGGAATTTATAACAGTATCTTTACTAATATTCCCTGGCACATTCAAATTGTATAATACAGATTTTCACCAGACACAGTCGAATATTCAGAGAAAAACGAGAACAAAACATTGTAATACACTTATCCGATACTCCTAAACAAGTGAACACTATAATTAACCTGGATACAAGCAGATACAAGAGCAAACGGAGAAATTTTTTAGTTTTTTTTTTAAAAAAAAGACAACTATTAGAGCAAAAAATATCGTGAAGTAAATCTGGTCAAATAACAATCCATGGTGATAGGAATCGGAACGGAACACGAGGAAAAACAGGAAAACAGTAAGCGAACAAAACTAAAAGGCAGATAGATGGTCAAATTTTGTTCTAAATAATGGAAAAAAACATTGTGTGACTTGAAATTCTTCAAACGTTTTGAATGAACAACGGTTTCGGGGAGAGAAAAAAAAATTTAAATTTAACTTGGACTGGAAGCAAAAGGAAATAAAAACAATTATTTTTTCGTGGAATTATCGGAGCTAGTAGCCGGTATTCGAGGATTCGTAGGATTTGTATCTCGAGCATTCGATGAAATTGAGGTTAGCGTAGCATCCGTTATTGAGTTCACGTCAGTCTCACCATTACTATTCCGAAGGACACCACTACTCGATGAACGATGAGTGTTATTTTCATCAGCGGTTGCTCGGCTAGTACTGCTTTTCGCGCTGAGACGCCGATAGCTTGACATCTGACCAGAATCTACAGTGTTCGTAGTGGCCACGGGTGGACTAGGCGCTGGTCTTCTATCACTTTGACGAGATGTGGAACCCGACGTTCGAACGGAAGAACAAGTGGTAGTTGATGCTGAACTATCTCTTCTAGGAGGCATACGTTCATTGATTTGATCATATGCTTTAGCTTGCTCGAAGGAGATTATTTTATTTCTGAGTGAAACACCAGAAAGTGCTAAATAATTTTACAATAAAAACAATAAGTATTTTAGATAGAATTATCCACCTTCACAAAAGCATCAGTAAAAAGCTATACACAAATGACAAATATTTCAAGGTTATAATATAAAGAGAGCATTAGCTGTTGAATAACCTAATAAATAAACATACCTTTATTTAATGATTCTTTCCCACCAGACAATGCACCTAATGGTAACATGCCATTTGGTGTCAGACCTTTCAGTTCAAATACGGACTCACTTTCTTCTCTAAAGTAAAAAAAAACGAAACAGAACAGCGAAGCTATTAATTATATGTAAAACGGACAGATTTTCCGATTACTGCTAATATCTTCTTTACTACCTCTACCACTATGGAATTTGAATTGACAATTACATCCCTGTGTTAATGTGGCATGGCAACGTGAACTGATGTACGTACTAGGTTATTTAAATAGGAGAAACATCAAACAAATTGACTAGTATAATTGAATAAATTGAGACTGTGAAGTCAATTTTTGAAGCATTATGCAAATAACCAGATGTATTGATCACGACTTTATACTTGGCTAACAGCTCGGGAACTGTTAGCTAACAACCGATGCAATATTTCATTTCTAAGAAACGATTAATTTGTTGAATAACCTCAGTATATTTCGTTTTCAATATTGAAAACCCTGGTTTAACGTTCTTAAAATAGAATGGAATTATGAGACTCCTTCCAAGGAATCATGATCTTACAGTGAATTTCTGAATCCCAGACCATTGAATTAGTATTCGGTGATCAACTGTGTCAAATTCAGGCAACTTACAATATTCTCTAACGGTCGTCTAGTGTTATATCACTGACAATATACGTTCACTTTGCATATAACTAAATTTCATTTACTTAAGTTTAATTTAAATTAGACAGAAAATTATCTACCATAAATAATGAGAATTTCTGGCAAAAAAAGAGAGAACTGATAAACAAACAACCTGATGCATAGTAGTAATATCAGATTAAAAATAATATCATATTCAAAGTTCATTCATGATTAGATATATCTGTCATGAGAAAATAAAAGTAAAAGGTGAAGAAGAAACATAGAAAATGCATAGAGAAGAAGAATAAAGAAAATCTTAACAACAACTAGTCAATTAATTTGGATAACCCTCGATGTTAGTTTGACTGTAGAAGAAAAAAAATTCTAATTAAATAGAAACGACTTACTAAAAATAAATCAGATAACTATGTGCCAGTTTAGATAAAAATCAACAACTAGGTTTTAGCTGAATTAGTATTGAGAATAAAACTTAACGATAACTGAAGATTAACTGTTTAAATGATAAAAATTTGAACAATAGTGGCGTCAGAAGATTGGAAATAGTCGACAGGATACTCTAGACTTAGGTTTCCTGATAGTTGGCACTCCCCAACAAAGCATTTTTGCAGTCGTAAGATAACTCAAAATGGCGTTTCGCGGCTTCACAGTTTAAGAAGTTACATTTGGGACTGTAAAGTTGAGTAACAGTGACTCGAATCCGACAGTGAACATTGACTTTCACAAGAATGCAGACATTTCTTAGTGGGGAGTTCTAACTAGCGCAAAACCCAGGTACACGGTTCCTTCCTGATTACCTATAACTGCTTAACATCAAATTATGGTGCGTGCAATGTCCGGTTACTTAGATCAACACTAAGAAATAAACAACCACAAGATTGACTACTACGCAATGACCGACCAGTGCACACAATTATCACTGGAAATAATCGATCAGCTCAAAGCCTCGTCTAAATGATCATTATTGTGAAGATAATTTCTTTGTAAAAAGAAAATAGAAAGTCTAAAACGTAAAAAAAAATTGTAATGATAAATGACTCTAGTTCATAAACAAGTTTACTGTCTAGTAATCTAGTGAACTAATTTAACTCTTGAACAAAAGAACGAGTGGACTATTATAGCAAACAACAAATGTGCACTAATTAGCAGTAAAAATGGAAAGATGAACAAAAATGTAGTGAATTCTTGAGGAGAAAAAAACTTGACCTCTACTGAAAAGCCTTCCATCTGAGTTGACAAAAAAGCTCAGTTTGAGGCCTAGGATTGAATAATATGGTCCGTTAAATATAGGAATGTGTAAATATTTTGCATGTCACATAAATGACAACAGCATACAACGATGCGGGGGATCGTAGAATAATTGACAGTTATTGGGATCGCAGTAACATTAAATGAAGTAAGACATAATACTACGTGTAAACAAAAACTGAGAATTGTATTTTGTTGCAGTATTATTAGGTTATTATGAACGAGTAAACCGCATATTTATTTGTGATTCATCCAAGCTATTTCAATCTCGGCGATCAATCATTGTTGTTAAGATTTACTTAGTTCCACGGTGATTTCATAATTTAAATGTACTTTAATAAGTTATATTATTCAAAATAATCAAATTTCTACACATTTGGAATCATCAACCAATCATTGTTAGACCACCATTAGAAACCTGGAAGTACTGGACGGCCGTTTCTTACTGGTATGAGACTCATCAGCATTGCGCACCCGCGAATCCTGCACCTTGCAGGATTTGAACCTGGGACCTTCGGTATTGTATGCGAACGCCTAACCATCGGACCACTGGGCCGGCATCCAGCGGTGTTAATGTCTAACTCTGATTGATCTAGGGATTTTGCGCGACCTCACCCATTTGTCTTTGGTAGTTACTGCCTACACCCGACAAGGTTGAACTCCATAAGTCACGTCTTCTCAACTAGAACTCCGAGAATTTCCTCACGAAGCTAGTCACTTGTGAGCACATTTTACGATATTTTCAATAAGAGTTTTGGAGGTTTGTGTTTCTACACATTTGAAATCATCAATCAATCGTTGTTAGACCACCATTAGAAATTTCATTAGCAAAATTAATACCATGAATTCGAAACTTAGTACTGGCTCTCAAAATTGTCCTAAGTTATTAGCATTATTCAATGTAGATGAGTTAGTTATGAATATTTGTTGAATTGGTAGTTCACATCCTTGCTTTCCCTATTCATTTATTCAGATTGTCATGTTGCATGCTTGTTTATTTATTGTGGAAACAACGTACAATACACAAACATTATCTTAGTTAATGTAGTTCATCAGTCGGACAAGTAAATCACAACTAGTTTGAAAAGATTTCAGGTAAATAAAAATTGTTACAGTTTGTTGATAGGATGTAACGAGTCTCGAAAGATACTGAAATCAGCATGTTTGCATAACAAACTGAGCTTAGTTTAGAAAATCATTGAAAATGACGAAGTATAAGAGAACTATTTCATTTTAGCATGGCATTTCTCAGCAATGTGCGTCAACGACACTGTTGAGAGTCGAACAAAGGACTGTTGGAGGATATCCACTAAATGGTTCACATGTTTAGCTCCAACCAATTCGCGACAGTGCGTAACCGTCTTTTAATAATATCTGCGAGTAACAGAACTACACCAAAAACAACTACACATTGCTGGCCACAGTTTTTCACTAGAGCTCTCCTATTACAACCAAACAGCTGTCCAGTGTTGTTATGCTCTTGAAATCAAAAAGGGGCTCCACTTTATTGCATGAATATGTTTTGCTTAAACACACACGTGTACAAACTACCCTTATATAATCAAATGTACATATCATAATGATTTGGCAAATAACACACAAAACATCGTCTTTGTTGAGTGCTTTCAATTAGCAGTTAAGCTTAAGAAAGAGAATACTAGGAAGTAACATAGATATTCATTATTCTGGTAGACAGATTGAATATTATCATTATTATTATTTTGCATATTTTACATTGAATGATTATTAATGAAGAAAAGACTAAAAGTAAACAAACACATTTACACTTACCGTAACACTGTGAAAGTACGAGCCATTTTACCGATAGCGCGTATTTTATTACGAATCACTTCTTTACGAGCAGCTACAGTACCACCTTCATTTTACGGGAAAAAAATCATTGTAAATAAACAAATGAGAATATTGCGAAAATGATAGAACCACCGTATAAAAAAATCATAATGAGCAACGAATAGCAAGCAATATCGAAACAGTTTCGCCAACCACAAAGAAACTAGCTGAAGTTGTTAGGGACCACTAACTAACAAGATATATATATATATATATATATATATATATATATATATAACCATTTATTCAACAAAAAATGGAAGAATAGAGGAAAAGACATGAAAAGTTGACCAGCAATATATGAGCAAATATGAACCATTTCGAAATAAAAGAGAATGGATAAATAAGAGTTGATCAATTGTTATTATTCTTTTTGTAAGTCATCAATAATTTGTCCTACTGTTAGCATTTATTTAACAGGAAACCAAAAAAAATAAAACAAGTTAATTTTGTTGGCATTGTATTCGTCAGGATAAATAGTTTATATTTATATTTATATTTGAACAATGGATGAATTATGGTATAATAATAAGAAGAATAATCAAATCATAATGATTAGATTTTGTAAATTTCACAATGAAGAGGAGAAAATCAAACTCCTGATATTTTGCGACTATTTTATGGTTATGCTAAACTAGATTATCAGAGTGAACTTCAGATAGATCAGTATGTTGTTTGGAATTAACATGCACAGACCAAAAATTAGGTTGTTTTGAAACAGCGATTTTATGATCAGCTATTCAATGTCAAGAACTGTACGACTATCAGTAGTGACATATTCTGTTGTTCAACTGACAATCTATTTTCACGAATATGCATCGCAAGTGAACACTTATTCGGCTAAAACGAGATACTTCTGACTGTTGGAACAATCCACTGAGAAAAAAATTACGTGTAAAACACATGGAATGCAGTGTTCGCGTATTAGCTGCAAAGCAGCTTAAGTTCGTGAAATATCTCAAAATCCTACTAGCAATACCTGAGATACTACTAGCCAATATCAAAATAGTGCTCTTCATCAAACAGCTTCTAGTCTTTTGTGAATTTCGTGCAGTTCAGTAATGTTGTCAAGCAACTTATAAATATTCTCAAGTTCATTTCCTTCGAAAAGAACAAATATGTTGCCTAAATAAAATATCCGAAACATTGTTATAATTGTCGATAGAATTGAATTCTTATTCCATTGATTTGCACTGAAACCTCAGTACTTTAATTAGAAAATTATAAATACTACTAATAAATGATAAGTCGGTAACAAAGTTCACGTTCATACTGTCATTTAATAACTGCAATTGTAAACTTAGACTAGTACAACAACTACTTAACTACTTCTTTAGGTGAAAATATCAGGTGATTTTTAAATATCGTCGTAAAACAGAATTTATTTACACAACAATGTTGAACAAAACAGTTATATTTTTATGCATACCTTCAAAGGTGTCATCACCTTCCCTCATTAGCTCATCGTCAGAACATATACTTAACACATTCATCAGCATTTCCGTGACTAAATAAATCAAAAATAATGAAAATGAATAGAACATGGAAACAAAATTTAGTATATGGATTGGGAGAATACATACTAATGCTGTTTACTCGTAGACATAACAATTTTAACAATAAGCTAAACAAGCGTCCATTATTAGCATGTTACAGGTAATATTCACAGCAAACTGATTGCAGCTTAAGAACGATAAAAATTCAATTAGTAGATAGTTGCTCTGTCCTAGGCGCTATGACTCATGTGAAGTCTCATTGGGAGCATAAAAGAGTGAAATCCAGTAGTCTATAATTATAGAGCCAAATACAATTTGGAAATCAAATTCCAATCTGTTTCGTACTCGATTTTCTCTCTATCCATCAAATTATTCATATAAGGGTTTATAATGAACGCTATGATTTTGATATTTTCGAGGTAACTAGTACTTTTTTTTCAGCTTCATTTTAAACTGAAATGCGATTTCCACCATAGATGAAATAAATATATGAAACTAGACAGTAAAATAAATATATTTATATATTTATATTAAGGTATGTATTTCGTATAAATAATGATGAGCAAACACACGTATGGTCAGTAGGCTGAATCAAGTTTTCCATATAAATGCGAAGTGAGGTATATATTATACGGCATAAATTAAAAAGCTTGTTTTATAGAGTGTCATTATACCATAGCTTACATTAACCCGAAACTTTTTCCTTCATATGTCAATACGTCATGCATATGCTCTCTATCTCTTTACTGATGATTGTTGTAACTAACAGTAGATCGATTTTTTACTAGTTATCATTGTAATGAGTGATAAGACACTCATCTATCATATTGTTTTTTTTTTAATGCTTATAGAGTAGGGAAATTTAAAATAAGTGTGTTTTATACAATCAAATAATGTGAACAAACAATACTCGGATAGGCAAATTCAATGTTCAGACTCTTTGCAACGAAATAAGTTATTCTTTCAGCCAGAAAAAAATACACTTATTTCGAAACCAAGATTCATCACGTTCGAATAATTCATGACACAACTAACAATAACGAAAACACGAGGACATTAAATTTTTTTTTTTATTGGCAAAGAACACAGCTAAAATACAATATGATATATCTGTTCATGACAAAATTAAGAGAAAACAGAGAAACATTTTAGTTTAACTTTGAAATCATTAGAAAAATCATTGATTTACATTTCAAAAAACCTGATTGGTTGTTTCCAATCAACCAATGTGGCAACATATATAAAATAGATGTTTTTATGCAAAAAGCAGGAAAAATTATCATAATGTTTAAACGCAACTTGAATACGCATAAATCTATGTATCCACATGTACATTGAATATATACACGCAAGCATACACACATTCACCATGTTGGGCAAAAACACAAACACACACACATACACAGACACGGCACAGGTATACACGTAGTCCGGACAAGCATAAATTGATAATGATATAATAACAATAACAATAACAACAAATGAGATAATTCAATCTAATATAAAACGATGAAAACCAATTAAAACATCATTAATAGCAATCGTTATGAAATATAATAATACAAAAAAAAAAAACTAAGAGCGGATTGTTTAAAAGCTAATAGTAGTAGCTAAAGCGCGTACACATCTCTTTATTTTATTTTATTTTATTTTGTTTCATTTTATTTTATTGTTTTATTATTTTTTATTTTTGAGAAATAAACTAACAGCACTTAATCTTAACTAAACAAAGGGATCATTTTTGTTGGGTAGATGATAAATATATAATATAGGCAACAACAGAATAGAAGTACAGCCCACTGCTGATTCGTAGTCTTCTATTTTTCCTACAACTGAATTCTTCGTTTGATTTATTTATTCATTTTTTTTCTATCTAGTAGTGATAAATTGTTGTGTGAACGAGCAGACAGAAGAGATCGTTGGGAGAAAAACGGAGAGATAATAGGACAGTTGGGAGAATCAAATGACCCATTCAACATAATACCAATTGAAACAATAGCCGATTACACTTAATTATATGATAATATCTATATATACACAGATACACACAATTTAAGTGAGAATACTCGACAAATCAAACTAAAAAAATAAACCAACCTTTTTCACCAACAAATGGTAGAGACCAAGTGAATACATCCATAAAGTTTGGCAGCCAATAAGGATGAGGTGAACAATTAAATTGACGTATATTCATTGTATTATTTTCATATTTGAGTATAGCAGCTATTTAAAATGGAGAAAACTGTTGTTTGTGTTTTTTTAAATAAGAGCAACTATGTAACTTATCCATTAACATATATGTGTGTGATATATATACATATAACATATATATACATATAACATGGAAATATATCATGTACATAAGCAGACAGATAATAATAATAATAATCATAGGAGAATAAAAATCATATGATCTAAGCAAAATACAACAATATGAAAAATAACCAATCAGTACCACAAATCGGTTAATCGTTAATCGTATTTAACAGGAATCATAATCAGATTACGGGAGAGAATACACTAGCAAACTATAATTAGGACGATGATAATGATCATAACGACAATGCTTAACAACACTTTCTGATTTTAATGAGCACAACTTGGTCTGCAATTATGACAATTCCTCTTTATTTTTCCTTTTTGTAGAAAAACAAATGACAACAATAATTTAGATAAAGTGAAAGTAGATGAATGATCGATCAAGTTGTTATTGCTGTTGCTGTTGTTATTCAACAATAAGTTAACTTGTTCACACTGAGTAGAATGTATTTTAATTAATGAAATGAAAAGACAACTTTTATGACACAGAGATATATGGAAGTTCATGGGTTGAAAAATCATGGCAATAAGACTTAGTGACTTGGGAAAAAAGAAGTCTATGCTCAAGTTTTAAATGCACTAGGATCACTTGAAAATTATTTACATCACACAAATTGATACTCAAGATTCTATGCCAAGCAATGACGATCATATGTGCAAACTATATAGAAAGTGTGATTTCCGATAACAAACCAGTTTCTTCAGTGGACAATTGTTCTTTAGCTAATATCAATCTGTTAACGAACTGATATTTACAAACCACATCCTGTCTTAGTAAAAAGTTTGCAATTTTTCATTGTTGTGAATCGTCTCAACCTAACAAGCTACAAGTATCTCGGCATATTCTATGCGTAGCTAGCATTGGAATCTAGAATGCGAATTTCATTCTATTCTGAATTTCTAAATGGAAATACTTTCGCGCTAATGATGATCCTTACATTAAGACACGAATTCATTGCTTTTACTTTAGACGCTCAACTTCGTCGAGTTTCAGATAGGACGAAATAGGCACTCTGGATTCCACCGCTAGTAGCATACTAAAAATAGGCTTTTTGTCTCGTTGAGCACATAATTAATTCCCGTAAAATACAGTAAATTATGGAATAAATTTATAAAAACATTATTGTTTAGTCAATGAAATAAACACGATAAAGCAGCGAATCGGTAAATCTTTAACGATTGAAACTACATTTTTATGAAACCAATGTTTTGGTTTACGAAATAGCCTGTATCCCAGAGTAAGGTTGAGTTAACCGACTAAAATATTTAGGTAAAATATGTACACTGTGCATCCAAAATAATTTATATTTGGTTCTACGTTTTAATTGACCGATTGGCTCAATTTATATTTGGCTTAGTCTCTCATTCAATCATAATTTCGCAGCCAACAATTCAGAGAAAATGATTGTGACTAGTAGCTTACACAAATATGCAACTTACTAAAAATATTAATGTAAAAAGAATCTATAAAACAAAATCCAGCTCACCTTTGTTGTTATACACATCAAGGTAATTAGGAGCACTAAATATGGTGATGAGTGACGGAAAATTAGTAGCCTGATTTTTTCGATACATACGATAACTAAACATTTTTTTCATAAAATAAAAGAGAAAATACAAAATGAAATGTACAAATCGTTTTTTTCAGTCAACGGATGTTCATCTGTACATTCACAAAAAAATTAAGAACATTAATTAATTACTGAGTTATTTAACCATTAAAGGGATATAAGTATAGTTATTAACTCCGAAACTTTACACACATTAATGTTGATTCGCAGTATCGGTTTCTGGAGATTGTTGAGTTTCATTAAAAATATAAAACCAATTCAAGTTAAACAAACAATAAAAACCTGGAAACATTAAACAGCTGTTTGGACTTAGTATCAACGTACAATGTTGCGGAGGGACGTATCAAGAATAAACGATCGCCTACTGCTTCCAGGCTTCAATTGTTGTCTGATTTATACCGTTTGCGATTTCGATGAACATCAGAAATCTCCACAATCCCCTAATGTGATCATTAGTGAAGTCGTGACTAGTGGAGTACAACTGCATCAGGTTTGAGGAAGATACTCACCGAAGACAACTGAAGATGGTTGTAAATATTGTGGATTGATTGGAGTTATATATAAACATCATTGAATACCAGCTATGTGGTTTAAGGGCGTTTGTGCAAGAGATCAGAGGTCTTGGGTTTAAAATTACTCGTTGAAAGGTAGTGGAGGGATCTCATACTAGGAAGATAATGTCGTCCAGTGATTCCAATTATTCAGTGGTTGTCTAACTTAGATTTTTTCGCGATTTCAATATAAGATTGATTTCATATTACTAGAGCTCACCATCTAGGGTTCATTTAAGTTTTGACTACCTTGTTGGAATCGAAATCCTATTTAGACTTTCGTTGTAGTTTATGATAACTGCATTCAAAACATAAACAGAAAAGCTGGCACAGACAGATTACATACACGGAAGCAAAGTATTCAGAAGGTTCGCAGATGATGTAATAAAAAAGAGAGAAACTGATAGTTTCAGACTACCACCACCTAGTGGTGTCTAACCACAAAAAGTGTTGGAGCATAGGATAATTACCATCACAAAAATTTAATAGAATTCCTTTGAAAAGAAAGGCGACCTTCTAAATAGGTGGGTACTACAGAAAAATCACACTACTCTCAGTACCACACGGAGTTATCAAAAATGTTGCTGAACCGGATGAAAGGTTTACTTGACATCTGAGTTAGAGACCAAAAAACTGGCTTTAGAAAGGATCGATACATTACCGACGAAACCACAACAATACTGATCATTGTTGAACAACCAACTGAATGGAACTCACCATTGCGCCTCAGCTTCATCGAATAAGAGAAAGCATTAGACACTATGGATAGAAAGACTCAGTGGAACCATCTCAGATACTACTATACTTGTGAAGACCATCGCCAAAACACAGGACTCTTACGACGGACAAAATCGTATAGTCATGCACTGGGGCCAGCTCACTGATGCATTGCGAACAAAGACTGGTACGAGATAAGGCTTCCTACTTTTACTTTTTTCCGCTAGCTGATGGATGGGTTATGGAAATCTATATATTTTGAGAAAGGCACCAAATACCGTGGACATCTTTAATTCTGAAAGATGATTTAGACGTACAGATGACATAGCTTTGCTATCGCTACTGGAAGCTCGTAGGATATACCATGTACCACACACTGAACCCTACCTCGATTCTTTAATGCAGAGAAAAGGAGCAAGATCAATGAGCATATGGCTTCAATTTAACAAGTAAGTCATAAAGATCATAAATAAAATTTGACGATTAAGAAAATTGAGGGCATTACAGAGTCGATTGGTGATCCGTAGTTGAGGGCCTACGATCGAGAGCACCAGTAGGTCAAGTATTTTCTTCACATAAACAACAATATTAAATAAATAATACTGCTAGTTGGAGTAGTAGTACTAGTGATAATAATAAAAACTATGATGATTAAGTGTTTTGCTCAAAGATCGACTTTCGAAATGAATTCACTAAAATCTGTCGTACTCTTTCATCTGTCGATCGAAGAAAGATAAAATCAACCTTCATTTGTTTAAAAGCCTTTAATAACAGCAATCTTACACATAATGAATGATTCCGTGAAATAAATGAATTATTTCTATGATTTATGAAAAAGCCTAATCGCTAGTGCACACATGTTTATGGAAAACGCAAAGTATGTTCTGAATCTAGAATATTTCCAATTCTATAAAATTATAAAATGATTGCATACACACGATCAAAAGAAATCAAGCATACTTAGGAAATAATGAGAATAACGGAGACGAATAGAAGGTCAAGTGGGTAATCAACAACAATGTTAACAATACATTGTAATGATGAGATGTAGGCCACAAACTATATGAACACCATGAATTGGAAGAAAGTGTCTCATAAAACATTCAAGGCCTAATTGATGAATGAAGAATGATCACTATTACTGTAAACAGACTTGTAATCATCAAATAAAAATCTACATATTTATTTAACTAACCCGGCATCTTGAGCTTCATGTGCACGTATTATAGACAGGAGACTGTTAGTTTGTAGGAAATCACAGCAAGCAGCATAACTATGGAGAAGATGATCGATTTGACGATGGTAATTTGAAACAGTTGAAGAAACCAAGCGACAAAAAATTTGGAAGTAAAGAAAAAGCGATTATTTTTTTAAAAGGTAAATAAATAACATTTAATAACCCTCAGATTAAATAATAAATATTATCAGATCAATCAAATAGTTTAAAATTTGAATTTAACTTTAATCATAAAAACAAATATCCTGAATGATATCACTCACGAATGTAACAAATAAAGACAAAGATATAAGCAACCCGATACTGAGTGATAATCAATAATTGCAAAAAAATTAAATGCTGTGAACCTCATAAGCCAACTCTTCTCATTGAAACTAAAAGTGCTAGATGGTAGATGTGTTTATTAAATTTTCATAGGTAGGATATTCCTCAGAAATTCACACATGAAGAAAGACACAGAGAACTGAATCAAGAGCGTTTAGGTCTCACAGGGAACACCAGAACCTCAGATTAATACAATGACATCCAAAGTATTATGCCTAACTTTAGTTAATCGACAATATTACATCATCACAATCCATTATCACTGATAATACATTTACCACTCACGATGCATTTGAACTTCACTATTCACGGTCATGCGTTACCACTAGAACTACAAGAGATACTTGCCAAAATTACTAACTAATAAGTACATGTTTATGATGTAGTTATTGCTCGGACTTGTCTATCATTATGACTCAATCGAGCTATGTTCCTTTAAGTCCTATACCATACAAGTAAGCCGGAAAAAAAGTAAGAGTAAAGCAGCAACTTCAGGACTGCGAGCAAGGCCGTACTGATCGCTATAAAGGGGACAGTGGCTGACACGATGACACCTATAATCGACTCAACAATGAGCTTAAATAGACAAAATTGCCATCAGTTATGACTGGAGAGGCTTAATTGACGACTTCCGAACGTTCTAAATCACACTTTTTGACTCAGATCACACTCGTTCATTACACATGGAACTCATCGGCTAGATGTACAAAGAACCCTATGTTAACGTTGAGGATTTTATTCCATTGCTAGGCACCATCCAAATTTAGTTAAAAAAAAAAGCGTAACTATAAAGGGAAGCATCGAACTAAAAAATATCTGAAGTTATTAGTGACATTTCAATATCTGACTGATTACGATTAATCCGGTTGGTTCTAATTTAGTCTACATGACATGACCATAGTAGTTACTTGCATATAAGTTATTCATTTCAAGAAACTATGAGATTCAGAAGACTCTGGATCAATACTCTTAAACATCTACATGCACACAGAATAATAATTATATCGGGGTCTACTACGTGTGTAACATTGGAAAACAGATGTCCTATTAGTTTTATCAACAACTAATAAATAATATTGATTTGGTATAAAATACCATCCTTTGTTAAAACTTTGTTTATTGACATTTATTATTTGGAGATCTAGGGTCTTACTACTTTTTTTTTAAAAAATTTCATATATAATCAAACAAATTATTTACTAAACACACACAAGCGAAATCATTAATTCAATGTCAGTCAAACAGAAAAAAAAACTAAGAAAATGGAAGAAGAAAATGCAAAAAAAAAAATTAAACAAGTAAGTCGGCTTGAAATTTAAAATATTAAATAATTAAACGGAAATTAACAACGATGATTTCTGCTTGAAGATAACAATTTTTTTTTTTTGAAATTTTTTACACATAGAATGAAAACTGATTTTTTAACAGTTCCCTCTGGATGCAGTTTACAAAAATTTATGGTCAACTAGGAAAGTAATGAACAATATTAATTATATGAAGCCTACTGATAACAACTGGATGCCTGGACGGAAGTAGTTGGAGTAAGGAGAGAAGATGAGACAGGACTGTGACCATTAACCCACCGCTTCATAAGAGAAATAACTGATTTATCCTAGTTGTATACAGATTGTATACGAGATTGAGAGAAAGACCTTGAGCACGAGTAAAACAAGTACAAAACAATAAAATCAAGTTCAGCACCTTCCTTATGCATAGGTGTAGTGAAAACTTGACATACATAACATTGTTTACTTCTAAGTGATCGATCAGTTGTAAAAAAATTTGTTTGATATAGTTCTCCTATAATGGCCAGACATTTGTTGTGGCTTTAGTATTAACGATTTCGACTTCTTGGATCCGTGTTCGGTACTAAGCCTCTCTAGTAATTCATTGCAAAACTATGCAGCGTAGAGAATGTCAATGACAAACTATACCATTTAACAACATTCGACTACTTAGAGGTGAATAACACAAAACATTGTCATAAAGAGACGGTTAGCATTGAGAACGAAAGAATTTTCTGTGAACGATGCACGCGACGCAGTTGTTTATATGTTAACTATTCACTAACGATCATACAGAAACCACAATGTAACAATTTTCATTTTTTTTAAATTTTATTTCAAGGGTCATAGGAAGAGAGAGGAATTGAAACACCAAACATAATATGCCTTATCGATATGTGAATCAAATTACTTAAGATAATAATAGAGAGAAAGGTAGTGACGATAGCAAACACATATTTTTTTGGATGTAGGTAGACCGGATTCGATAGATTTTATAGCAAAATTAATCTAGATAACTAACTGTGTGAGGACAAAAATGCAACTTGATACACATTCATTTAAGTTTCGATTGAAAAGTTTAAAATTATAATTTTAAAAACAGATTTAACCAGTACACACAAAAGGAATGATAGATAATAAAGTAAGTAACCTTACCTGAAAAAGAAAGAACAACCTCTAACACTGTTGTGAGAGAAATGATCTAATGATTTCTCACTACCAAAATCTTCCAATGGATCAGACCATAAAAGGTCACACATTGGACCAAACGCAGGAGGTTCTCTAAATCGATCAATCTATCAAAGCAAAAAGAGAATGAAATATTGATAACTTTACAATATAAACAATAAAATATGATCAGTAAAAATTCTGATACACATAAAATATATATATATATATGGTTTTGGAAGGCTTTGTTATTTTTATTTGTCATAGGCATTGACAAAGTTGACCAGAACGGTAATAAAAGCTCTGCCAATAAATCATCTCATTCAGAGAATAAGATATTATTGAAAATACCAACTTGAGCTGTGAATCCCCATAATGAATGTTTCAAGAACAACAAAAATATTCAGCATAGAACTAATATTATTTCGATCTATGACAGTTTGTAGCAGTCCAGTGAAAAGAGCAAATTAAGAAAATATAGTGGAAAATACATCATAGTGAGAGTACAATTCATGAGGGAAACAATCAGATTTAGGATAACGAGTTTTGAATGGCGCGGATATCATTAATGCGTGTATGACTCAACAGCATTTTCAGATCATAAATGATGTCAGATCATTGTGAAAACCTTAACTTCTAATACTAAATCCCAATTCTAATTCGTCACATTGATCTGCAACTCTCTTTACAACCTAATACGCAGTTGACTCTTCTCAAGGTCGTCCGTAAATAACAGTCTCACCTATATAGTTGATAGTTGTTTGTCACAGCAATAGCGACTGATCAGTTGCAGTCCTAAATATCAAAAACAGGAAAATCCAAATCCTTACACATAAATTATACAATTTCACTACAATAATAAGGAAATATAAAACACAAGTTTCGTTACCTACTATACACTTAAATCAAAATGATTATAATAGTATTATTAAATACGAAGTACCAAATTGATATAAGTTTATAAGTACGGATCGTCGATAAGTCTGATCTGTGGACTAATATTTAAACCATTTTTGTCACCAAAGCTTTGGAATTTGGCGTTCACAATGCCTCAAATGGTTGTGAATGCGCATTGTTGGACAGATCGAACAAACCAATGTTGAATGACCTCATGGACTTTACAAGTTGTTATCTGGCTGATTTCAACAGTCAGTAGTAACAATAACAACCTTCAACTAAATAGTACTTTATTAATGTTCCTATGACGACACTACACATCCACGTGGAAACAAAGATATCCACTGACAACAACAACAACAATCATTATTATTATTATTATTATTATGAATGAATAACAATTAACAAAGGAGGAGGTCAACAGACGACAAATTAAACACGAAGAAAAATAAATATTGGTCAGTGTAACAAAATAAATATAACAATATTTAATAATTATTATCAATTCATAACAAGAAAAAAATAACTACATTTTTTTTTGAAAAAAAAGGCAACTATATAAATCATTTGGCAAAACAGGCAAATTAATAATATGCAACATACCAAAGAAAATATACAGACTATCCAACATATTACTTTACTAACTTTGTTACCATCTTACTCTCTCTCTCTCTCTTTCTCTCTCTGTCTCTGGCTCTGTTTAGTTAACGTATAGAAATAGCAATAGAATAAATATCTAATCCACATTCCCTTTATCAAAAACAATTGAACTTGACTAACAACTGCCTTCCATGCCTAGATTAGACAATGAGTTTCGCTTTATTCTCTTCTCTTCTCATTAGAAATTATAGGAAAACAGATGAACTATTTTTGTTTGTTTGTTTGCAAGTATGTGTTTCGGATGCTGTGAGTGAAAAGTAAGTTAAAAATGATGGACGATGAATCATGTTAAGCATAATCTATCTATATCCACATATTTACTATATATATACAAAAGAAGAATGACTGTGAATATCGAATGAGACAAGTAGTTGTAGGAGAGAAAAAGAATGATAAAATATGTGTAAAATATTCCCACCTTATTACATCATCAGGACAGAACTATTACGATTAATGATTGTAGTAACAAAAATGAAAATGATAAAAACAACAACAACAATGATAATAATGTCTGAGGATCGAAATTCAATGAATTGAAGCTTTTTATATACGATACATAAAGTCTAATCAGTTAGCATCCTTCTTGCATAATCTCTCACTGGTAACTAGTGTGTCTACAAGAACAGTATATTATCACCACAAAATGATAAGGAATCTCATGACTCTGTGGAGGAATTTCCAGTAAATAAATAAAACGAACAGAACGTTGATCAACAGAAGATTTGTCGTGAATACAATGCGATCGAGCAATAGCTGGACACGAGACCGATATCGTGACTTAAACACTCAAAAAAATTTGGTATCAAAGACAAGAGTGTTAGTCAGAAAAAGGTGCCATTTTATAAAAGTGCCATGTAAACAAATTATTAACAGAAAATCAAACATGATACGATATCGCGAGCTATTGAAGGAAATCAAATATTCATAGTCCGAATCACAAATCGATCTCAGCCAGACAACCACTGTAAATTAAAAGGCGCTTGGCATCTGTTTCGTACTAATATTATAAGACCCTTCGGCAGTAACCATTTACGATACCTTTAGGAAGTTAAATCAGAAAACTCACACTTTCATCAATTAAGACCGTTCTCAACAAAACCTTGAACAGTGTATATGGTATTCAAACTAATCACAACTAAATAAATAACTTGAGATACTAAGCTAGGTGAAGACGAAATAATATGAAAACGGTTATCATCCAGCAGTCAAGTGATTTAAGTTTCCTTTTTGCAACTAACTAAACTGAATTCAATGTTTATCCTATCAAAGTGTTATGCTCCGACACCGGCTACGTAATTCAAAACATCAAAGCAGTTAGTAAACTAACACAATTGCTATTTGGAAGAATGTACACTATGACAAAATAACTTTGACCCAGCTGCTAACTACTGAGAAGACAAAACGAAACAAACGGTTTATTCCCGCTCTAACTGAAGACAGTACAAGGAAGAATGCATGGGTGTTTATACATTTTTGGTGTATCGTTGTGGGATTCGAACCTACGACCCAAGTCTATGATTTTTGGAAACAATCAAAAAAACAGCCGTATCCCTTGCTTGGTTGTATGAAACTTAATTAACGATTTTACTCATTTTTCACACCCTTCGACTGTTTGTTTTTACTCACTTTCGTGTATATGCTTTACTAGTGGAAGAATTATTGAACGATTCTTATTTGTTACTGGAATATTTTTTTCTCGATGAGATTGTTATTTTTAATGTTTGTTTTCTCAAGTTTTGACCTACTTCCTATATTTAAACACTTATTCAAGCTGTTTCTTTTTTATCACAATCATTACTAGTATACCTGTTATCTTACTAGAAAATGGAATATTCTACTCAATAAATCTAGCTATGTAATCTACTTTAAGGTTATCATGAACTCATGACTTGCCTTGCCTAGTCTAGTAATTTTTAATTAGTGAATATATATACATATAACTTTATATTGAAGAACCTATAAAAATATGAAAAATATGCGGTACCTTTCAATATTATATTCATGTATTTAATGTATTGGTGATTTAAATGTACAATTGGTTGGGGGTAGCGTATCACAGTAATGCAAGGCGAAATCGATTCCACTTCTATATGGAAGTTACATTTAGTGTGCTTGATATTTGTAAAGATGCAAATTTAGTGTTAGAATAATCACATGCTTTGGAAAGCATCATACTTGTACTGGAAAAAAGGCATGTAAATCAGAGTTTCCCAATCATAAAAGCTTGAGAGTTATATGTCTAAAAAAGCCACTAAACCTAAGTGAGTACACTCTTCCACTAAAAAAGAAATCTGAAAACTTATTGCTTTCCAAGTATTTTAGATTTAACAAGACGTTTAGGTATCTACAAACAGACTTATCATCATGAGAGTAAACAAGGTTCACTCAAACTCTCAAAACTCTCCCAAAAACAAAATTACACAATCGAAAAAGACAGAGACAGTTACATGGGTAAAAACCTCAAATATTAAAAAAAAAACATTCGCTGACCAGCAAACCAAAACTAGCATGTGCTACCTATCCACTGGTGAATAATAGTGAAATTCATATCAATTTCAATTAAAATTAATTTCTTAACAGTCCGACTAAGCACGCATAAATGAGTAAAACTTTCAAAGTATTTTATATCTCTGGTCTAACAAGAGATAGGAGGATCTATTTGCAAAGACAAATATTTGTTAGTTAAGCGTATATAAAATATATTAAAAACGATGTATATCAATAATATTAAACAGGAGTTAATTTAAAAAAAAAACAACACAAATTTACACGACGTATATCATCCAAAGTATGAACTTCCGGAGAAAGACCACCATGAACACACAAAAACTGTTGATTCATCAACGCTGCCAAAGGTAAACAATCGAATGCTTCCATACAAGCTTCGTAAACTTCTTCTGTATATTTTATCTTACCTAAAAAAAAAATTAGAAAAAGTATATTATTAGAGTTAAATAAAACGCAATACATACATACATACATCATAAAACAAGCTCAAAGATAACAACACAGAGTATTCAAAGTCAAAAATTGTAATATTCTTCAAATCACTAACTTTCAGATTGAACCGAAGTTGTTCCAGATAGTGATGGGAAATATAGTCTTGGAACCATATAAGATGTTAGCTATGTAAATAAAATTGTTGTTTCACGTTATCTTATATCGCTTGTAGTTAATTGACTAATGTGACTATATTATAATAGAGCAGAACACCTTCATAGACCAGTAATTTCATTCTGCATTTTGTGTATTTAGTAGTAGTAACTAACGGAGCAAACCACACAGTTATAAACATTACCAAAATGATTGTTCGCAGAGTAGAGTTTAAAAATAACAAGCGGAACTTTACGGCACATACATAGAGTAGTTTTGATTGAGACTGTGATTCTGCAGTATACCAGGCTTTGAAATATACAATTCAAATGCTCAGGAAAAAGTACTCTGATAAAAGTTTAGGAAATAAAAATCATACGTTCAAATCACTTAGTGATAATTTCAGTTATATGACCAAAATAATAACTGCAGAATTACCTACATAAAAAGTATGAAACATATTGTCGAACGGACATATGATGGATATCTGAAAACTTTACTGTAAATCCTGTGTAAGATGAACACTTTAAAAATAAATTATATTTTCCACAAGTAAGAAGTGATTTCATGGCGACTGAAATATTCAGGTTCCAAACGTTAAGGGTGAAGTTTTAACCCCATTAAAGCTATTTCGATTTGACCAGAAAGGTAGTATAATAATAATAGCTTTATTGACTACTATAAATGCTTTTGCAGTATGGAATTCTCAGCTCCAACTCAATAGGCAATATTTCAGTAAATTTCTCAGCGGGTGTGTTACATTAAGGAGAAAGAAAATAACTCTGTAGCAAGATATTTTCCAGTTCTGACCATGAAAACTGTATAGTTTATTCGCTAAGTATAATTTGGATCATTCTTTTAGTGTTTAAGTCACATGTTTGAAAAATGTAAAACGTTCTCAATATCTACTTTTCATCTTTTACAACATATAATAAGGTAATTAAGGTAAACTGTTCCGAAACCACTATCCATTGCTGTCTTGAATATTTTTCTGAAAGTGAATTTCGAACTACTCTCGCCTACAGTATATGAGCAAACGAACACACTGTTGAACAATACAAGACAATACATATTGATGAGTAATTAATTCACTCGCATCCATAGACTTTAATTCGGTGACAATCCATCTACCAAAAGTTGTAGCTAAAACTTTAAATTTTTCAAACGTTTTTAACGTGATACATTCAATGAAACTCAAAATTAGTCCTTCAGTGAAATATACAAGACAGTGAAAATGTATTATATGAATTTAAAGAGATAGGAGATCATTGAATTCATAGAATATACAGACTAATTGTTAATGAAATACAAACTAACGTTATCTGAATGATTTCTTAGTGTTAAAAGTATTCTATCGATTGTATAAAGTATAATCTTCAGAAAATGGCACGCCGACAATTCTTGTACGCTAGCTACTGATTAATTCAGAGGAGTGATTCTTAAAGTGCTAGTGAGAAAAGCCATGACTAGTGGATTTCAACCTCGTCAAGTGTGAGATAGTTTAATGTTAAGCGAAATCTGGAGATCCCAGATTTGATCCCCCCCGTCAAGGTCGTAGACGTGCACTTCTGAAGATTATCATACTGGCGTGAAATAGCTATTCGGTACTGACTGATTCACAATGCATATTTATAACCACAGTGAAGTAAACTTTAAAATATCTCTACATATTGAATAATAATAGACATTTTAGAAAATTTGAATTTCACTTAGTACTTTCATCCACTTACCAAACAAACACGTGAGACAACAAATTGGAACAGTGAAAAAGTTCTTTTTAAGTCGAAATTCAAAATATCCCACAAAAAACGAACAATATATGTTTATAGTTAGGACAAATATATTTGGGAAATAAGGTTTCAACAAGTCAGCATAAAGTAAAATGGATTTTTTTCTCATGACCGAAATTCGATTGCACACGTATTTCTGAATATGTGAAATGAAGTGAAACAGAAATAGAACTAAATCAACACAAGTGCTTATATTTTCGCAAAAATAGAAAATACACAAACAATCTTTTGATTATGTCATTGACCAAACCCAATGCAAAAAAGGATTTTTAAAGTTCAGTGCTTCGAAATAAACTGTGGACACATTACAAAAACAAATGAAGTGTATTAAGTAGAAATTGTAAAAGTGAGTTCCTATTCAATTTAAATAGATTACAAATCTTATGAATTTCTTAGTTAGTTTACTTTCTTTAAAAATATCTAATTTAGAAGTTGAGTTTATTTTCGAAAAACATCATTTTTTTTAAAAAAAAAATTCGAATTTGAACTAATTTGCATAAAAATAGTTGGTATCATTTTCAAAGTTTGACTTAAAAATTTTCAATAATTTGAGCATTGTGTAGAAAAGTTAATCATAAAATAATAATTTTTGTGAATCCTTATTAATATTAATTAGGCTGTATGTTGAAGTGACTGAAGTATATCGTAAAGATATTTCGATTAAGGATATGTGGATATATTTGTAAGTAAAATTAACGATGAGTCCTAACACAATGTCCAGTTTGTGAATTTTCGGCGACCCATGAAAATGTAACGTGGTGTCAGATGATAAGAGAAACAACATCTTACGATATAATAATAATAATACAATGAATATTATTAAAAGCGGGTCCAAACAAAACGATCTATCTTTGGACAAAAATTCTACTGAAATATCTTTGACTGGTAACGCCGATTTAAATTATCGCGAAGATACCACAGAAAATTTACAAAGGATTTTGAAAACAGCAAACTACGGAGTTCGGTAAAACAACCAACACTATTTGAAATGCTTCAGTCACCATTATAAGTGGGATTGTGTTTACATCCATGCAAAATCAGTTCTATAAATCAGGTTTCGTCGACTGTGATGTGTGTACTAGATCGTAGAGCCGCCTTTCGAAACCTCGACTTGTCTCCTAAGGAACACTTGGACCACATAAAAAGACCTCTTAATAATCCCGTACAGCTATAAAATCTAAAAATTTTAAATCGGTAACACGTAACTTTAAATAATCACCGAATTGGTAGCAAACAAACTGGGACAATTAAAAAAGCTTTTCCAACTATGAGAAAAGAGACAAGTAGCCAAAACATTCCATATTATGCTAAATCTCTCTGCCCTCAATAAGAAAGAATGCCTGAATATTTATCTAAGTTCGAATGTTGATCTGAAAAACCATAATTTACTCTGTTCATTTCTCAAAACCTACATACATACACTGAAAGCCTAACTCTACTTCTTATAGACAAAAATACACACAATGACATCTGAAATCCATATGACATAATCACACCTGTTTTGATTGAATTAATCATTCCACTTTGTTCCTCTACTCTATTTAAACTTGTATTAATTTTATTTGGTTATTGATTTGTTCACTCACTAGGAAGAAGAAGTGGCTCACATTAAGAATCACGAAACTATAAGAATCGAGGGACCTACTCATTCGAATATCATAAAAATAAATCATTATTTTATTACAATGATAGTTATTGTAATTAATCATTGATCAAAATCCGATAATTGACTTTGACTGGAAAGCAGATTGGGTTTTTACATCCTTTTTGTCTCACATATTAAACGAATCAAGGTGAAGTACAGGTTTGAAAAACACACAAGTTGACTGACACATATTCAAGTATTGTTGTTTTGGTTAGAAACAAACGAATTTGCTAAGTTACAGAATGATTACGAGGATAAGTCGAGTGTGTGATAACTACCTCCCGCGATAAAAGTAAAAATCGTAAATTTATTTATACTAGGAATGCAATCCACCTGTCGCTAACTCAATGATTTAATGGTTAGGCATTCGCCTTTAGACCCAAATGTTTAAGGTTAAATCCCTGGAGGGATCATGCACGTAAACGGCTGAAGTATCTTATATTATTCATCACTACGTAATTTTCAATATTTCACTGAATAAGGTTAGTTTGTATGTAATGTAAACTAAACAACTCCATAACCTGCACAAAACTCTCAAACTGATAAAAATAATCCAGTCAGCAAATATAACATTCATTAAAGAGCAATTAGGAATCGTACAATGATAGCTATCTATAAGACAGTAATTTTCTTGATTTTTAACGCCTAGATGCTCCAGTTTATTCCATGATAGTAATTAAAAATAAACTAGAAAGATAAAAGTATTTAAGTGGGTGGTTATCATGAGGAAATAAGCGAAAGTACAACGTCCAGCAGTTTAGAAGAAGAACAAAACAACTGTTGTGCTTTGCGTTTTCCAAAAGCAAACCGTTCCTAATATGAAAACAACCATCAAATACCATACTAACAATATACCGGTAACCATAATTTACTATCTGTTGTTGTAACTATGAACACCTGAAATTGCATGGACTACAATCACGCGTAGTAGACGGGCATTTTTATTCTATATATTTCGAATCGTTTGTTCATTGCTGCAGGCAAATTTTACAAATGTGTTCACGAATACATAAATTGCAAATACAGCAAAATTTTCTCTGTTCAGTTTACGATTTCACAAACTATTTTATTTTATTTTTTTCCCTATTCAGCTTTACACACCTCAACTGGAGATCCAGTAGGCAATTGCAGTGTGTATACAAGAAGAGAACAGTAATAAAAAAACAAGCATAAAAGTAAATAGAAAGTTTAACATGTAGAAAATGTAGTTTTACAACAAAAACAGGTACATTTGTGTACACCAACAAAACTTATGATCATAGCTCAACGGTCAAGGTTTAAAGGCTCATTGCAGTGCCAGAATGTTCAAAGTTCACAGTCTCTGATCGACTTGTGAACTACTGTGCACTAGGGCAAAACATCTATTTAGTTGTTCCTGGTTTTCAAT